CCGGCGGGTGGCTCTTTTTTCCACCCGCCCAAATGGAAACCCTAGTATTCACAAACAATGGGTAATAGAAATAGCGTACACGTGTGAGGGGTTTTTCTCCTCCTTTCGCGCTCCTCCCTCGCCCTCGCCGCCATCTCTGCTCGCCGCCCTTCCCCTTTGGTGAAACCAAGGATCGTCTCCAGAAGACTTCAAATCAAAATTGAGAATAAACAAAAAGCTCGGGTCTAAACTAATGAAAATTTCTGATTCGCCTGTCCAGAGGCCGTATTGATGAACGTTTTCCTAGGAAAACGCATTTTCTGCGGATAATGTTTTCTTTAGGAAAACTAAAGCGTTTTCTTTTGAAAAATACATGGGAATCTACATGCATTTCTGTACAAAATAAAGCAATACAATTTTTCACCGCACACCACCTTTAATTCACGTTTCTCTGAACATATTCCAAATATCTTAAAATGTGAAATTTCTCAAACACTGAATTTCTTAATTTCCAATTTCGAGACCCCGAATAGAAAAGCGAGGGGCGTGGAGATTCGGGACTAGACCTATACCATTCGAAAGCTGAGAACACGTCCTTTCCGAATCTGTTTTCCGTTAAAAAAATATGGCCACCACCTCGAAGAAAATCAGATCTAACGATAGAGTCCGAAAAATCTGATCTTTCATATAAACTCAATTAGGGTTGTTGCTTTTTGAGAATAGAATTTACCTTTTGATTCACCGACATACCCTCACTGTAGCTTCAATCTTGATTATCTCAGTTCTTATGAAAGATAGCAGAAAACTGTCAACTTATAAAATGCTCCAAATTTCAAGAAAAGCATTTTGGTAGTTGACAGTTTTGTCATATGCTTCACAGGAAGTGAGGTAATTGAGTTTAAAGGGTGAGAATGGTAATTTTGAAATGTTAGAACGAATTTGGTATTTGAGAAGTTACCACTAGTCTTCCATTAAGAGTTATTGTTATGTCTGGAACGAGGTTTAGTTCAAAAGTATTTGTTTCGGTTTTTAGAATTTAAAGTTGTAAACTTTGATTTTTTTGACTTCAGAATGCAGGTTTTAAAAAACTCCGAACTTCAGAGATCTTTACATTTCAATTTCAAAAATTTAGGAATCAAAAAATTTTTGATCGTTCAAAAATGTGAAGCAAGACAGTACAGAAACTCCAAAAACAGTTCTTGAGAAACGATGAAAATACTGAAGTTTTCAGGAAACTCAAAAATACTTGAATCCTGAAAATTCGAACTTCGGAAATTTTCAGAAAAGTGTAGAGTTTCATGAAATCCATAAAATTACAAAATCACACAAATCATAGATTTTTTGAAATTCTGAAAACAAGTTTCAGGAGCTTCTGACACCAGATTTTCAGAATTTTAAATAGAATTCCAGAAGTAATCGAATCTTTCGAAGGTCTGAAAATATCAGTTCATTCCATCTCACTGTTTCGGATCATCTGTCGTTTTTTTTCTTTCCCAATATTTTCTCTATGAAGTATTTTCAATTGAAAAACTCATTTTTTAAAAACCCGGCGTTTAATGCCAGTGAAAAATTTTACTGGCGACCCACGCCGCTTTTAAAACTGGCACAGGCGGCCAGTGCAAAAATTAAAAGCGGCGTGTGGCGCCAGAAAACGCCGTTTTGGCCAGCCTAAACCCATTCGAAACCAATAGAAATTTTTCAATTTCATGGTTTTCATGGTTTTCGCTCTTTTTTTGACACAAAATATGTCGGAAAACAGTGGTCGAAGTGGACCAAAAGTTAAGGATGACTGTTTGTTATGAATGATTTTGAAGATAATTTTTGCCTTTTTCAGCTTAAAGGATTAAGTAAAAACGATGCAAGGGATCACCGAAAAAAACAAGAAAAAAGAGATGATAAATTTCTCTGAAAGTGAGCTCAATTTACAAAAGTCGAGAATGTCTTACTTCCGGAAACTGCGTCTTGCCGTGAGCAGGTTAGTTTTCGAAAGTCTGGTGGACAAAGAAACATGCGTGAAATTGCAGGCTCTCAACCGAATGTGTCATGACCCGATTAAAACGATTCAAAAATTTAAAAATTTGGGATTTGTTGTATAAAACAACTGTTCTGATGAATTTATTTGGATTTGCGAAGATTTGAGTACGGAAATTATATTGAAATGGCTAAAGTAAGTTTATTATCGACATCACAAAGCCAAACACTTCTTTTTTCAGTTAAATCGACATTCATTTCATAAGGAATATCCATCTTATCTACAACCGGAAACTATGACAAGAGAATTTTCAAAATCGAAAATATGGACGAGCGGAAGAATTCGAATTGAGATATATTTTTTGGAACATATTTTAATGTGTTGTGCACGTTTCGGCAAAACTTTAGGTGAATTTTTTTAGGGAAATTTTTTTTTTCATAAATTTCGTCACTTTTTCTTATCTCATAGTTCCCATTATTCTCGCTGATCTCATCGTTTTCTTTTTTGCTGATCCCATTCATTCATTTGTATCACACCCCTCATTTTCGTTCCGATTTCCTATTCCAAATTTTAATCAACCGTTTTTCTTTTTCTCATACTTGTTCTGTTTTCTTTTTTAATAAATTTTATAATAAATAAAGTGAATGGCGTTGAAAAACAAACAAAATTTGAACAGCGCGCGCTACGATGCTCCGAAATCCCGCTGGTCTGTTCGGAATTAGATCTAATTCGTTCGTAGTTCATTCGGTGTTTGTTCGGAATTAGATCAGCTAAATTCGTCTAGACATATCCACCGAGATCGGCCTGGGTCTTCCTTCCCGCATGAGATTGCGAATCTCGATTTTAAAAATAAACCTTTGTGTTTCTCTTCAATGGAGATCCAAATGGAGTCTGAGTTATGCCACCTGACAAAAATAGGTATCGATCATAAAAGTGACACCATTATCTGGCAGCTCCCAATACTTCACTCCTTGGTAGGCATCCATGCCGAAAACATCCCATTTTTAACGTTAATTTCACGTTTCGGGACATCTGGCGGTTGAGTGTCTTTGTCAACCCACTTGGATCATTACTAATAACAGAGAGGAAAGGGGGGAGGAAATCCCACACACGTGTACGCCATTTCTCCCTCTCTTCCAGTGATGACCGCCGATCAGTGTATTGGTTAGCGCACCTCGCTTATGCCCGCGTGATGCGGGTTCGAGTCCGATCGGTGGAAATTCATTTTTGTTTTTTTAATCAGATCTCAAAAGTGATTTTGAAAAGTGGGTACATGTTTTTTCTCTTCAGTGCAAGTGAGGCTCCAAACGTTCAGGTGAGATTATGACAGCAGGCCCGGCGCATAACTCTTTTCCAACTCGGAGTTCTAATTGAATCTAAAAGTAGTAGATAGAACTCGACAAGATTTCTGCTCTTTCTGGAAAGGACAGTCCCGAGGAGCGACCACAGGTCCCAGCGAATTCCCATTGTTCCGTTTATGGTTGTCAGAACAATGGGGCGTGATCAAAGCGTCGGAATAGTTGAGCCTGCTGTCCGATGATGGGAGGGGTATTTCCAGAAAGAGGCAAAATTTACATCGTACCAAAAGCCATCATATTTTTCTGTGAAAATAGTCATGTTTTAGTCCTGGGAAAATAGTCCGGAATTTTTCGATTTATCTAAAAATTTCAGGAATTACCAAACAAAGTTAGAGTTTCGTTTTTGTAATTGACAACTTTTTTCACACATCCAACCAAGCAAGATGGGTGGTTTTTCCGGACTGTTCACTTGGCTAATATTTCCACTGAAAAATGTCAAAATATGAGATATTTTTTTGTATTATAGATATAGAAATCTGCAACGTTGGTTTACGCTGGCGACATCTCTTATGTGCTCTATTTGGTTCACTGGCCAGTGATATCCATTTTTCTTGCTCCCACCATCAACAGCTACATTTTCTGTATTTGTAAGTTTCTATTAACATTATTAACTTCTAGTCCATCAATATTACAGTAGCAATATTCATCGTCTCCATTCTTGTACATCATATTTTCGAGAAACAATATTTGAAGTTGGGAATGCGTGATGTGTTTCTTATAATATTCGTGTTAATTGGAGCCAATGCTTACTTGCAGTATAGTGTACGAAACGACAACTTTTGGGCAATGGATTTACCGGCTGAAACAAAAGAAATCGTTCACCAAAACATCGTAGCTTCTAAAGCAATTTGGGAAAAGAAGCCTCGAAAAGCTAGATGTATAGAGACATCCATGGAGACACCGTTTAACAAATATTATCTCGGAGGGTACTGTAGATATCCGGTGAGTGTTAGAGAATCTATCGTAGTACTGAAACTTTAAGCTTTCTTCAGCGTGGAACCGGAAACATGTCAATATTGGTAATAGGGAACAGTTATGTGGTCAACCTTGTTGAAAACATTCGAGCTCCATTCAACAAAAACTACTCGGACTTTAGATATTTGTCCGTATTTTCAAGCTTTGGACTATATTCTGGTTTCTCGTCACAATCAAAAGAGGCGTTGGATTTTACAAAACAACAAGTTGAAAAATACAAGCCAGATGTGCTTTTTGTGGTTGCCAGGTGATTTTTGTACTCTTTTTCTGTATTAAGACACATTCTTTGGCAGAACCGAAAATAGTGCTGTACAGAAAAATTCAGTAATTTTTTTCAAAATCAGAACAAAAATCAAAATTTTCAGCTGAAAGGAAACGAGCTAGAATTTTGGTTTTTACACAAAAAGTGCTCTAAATAGCAAGAATACCCCATTCTGAAATGAATTCAATCATTATCTCCAACGGGAAAAATTTTCATTTTTAGACTTTAGTTGGTCACTGTTTGGACATTATTTAGTGGATCCGAACCAATTGTACAATTTTTAACTTAGAAGTGTTCCGACCTTCAATACATACAATATCAACACTGAAAAACTAGTTTGAATTATTCTGTACAGTTACAATAGGCTTGAAGTTGATTTCTACAGAGAACGTGTTTTAAAGGAGGCGAGACAGCAAAAATTTCGGGGGACAGTTCGGGGGACGAAATCGCGCCGCGCTTATGTAGACCGTCGGTCGTCAGGAGCCGTCGCGCCCCCGTAGCTCAGCCGGTAACGGCGCTGTACCCCTGAGCTGCCTGTCATGAGTTCAACCCCTCATGGGGGTTCTCTATGCATAATATCAGGAACTTTTTTTTGGTTTCTGGCTTCCTTTGAACTCAGAACAGCCAGCTTAGGGGTACAGCGCTGCTACCGGATGAGCTACCGGGGCGCGAAGGCGCGTGACGACCGATGGTCTACATAAGCGCGGCGAGATTTCGTCCCCCGAACTGCCCCNGAAATTTTTGCTGTCTCGCCTCCTTTAATTGCTATGTATTAAGGTATTTGGAAACAATCAAAGATCCGGTCCGGGACAACGATCCTTTAGTCCAACAGATGGATGAAACCATAGAGTCTATGAAAAGTAGGTCCTTTTTGAAATTTTTTCTTCAGTATACAGTTTCAGATTTGTTAAAAAGATCTACATTCTTGGTGCACATCCAACGTACAAGGAAAACTTTCTGGATACTTTCCTTCAGTATTTGCTTACTTGGCCCCACAAGTTAGACCTTCTTCATCTGGACAAAAAATTAGCTGACGCCTCAGTGCTTCAAAACATAGTTGTATTTTCTCTCCTTTAGACTTGGAAAGAGGAATTTAAAAGAGAAAACACGGTAGAATACCGTACATCTCCGTCCATTTTCGAGTCCCCGTACGGGGCTTAAAAAACTTAACAGAATAACAACTACTTAAAACTCATATGGGTGGGGTATGGGATGGCAAGAAAATATAAAATTCAACGCATAAGAATCTGGGGTAATTGGGAAATAAGATATAGTCTGGTGTAATAACATTGGGCAAGATTGTAACAATAATAAAATATTAGAAAATTAACGAAATTTAGTGAAGGTGATGGCTGTAGGTGTACTTGGCTCATCCGTGCACATCAATAACGAAATTGGACCATGAATCCGTGATTGAACCATAATGACGTGGTGGCATGTTGTGATAATGGTCTCGACATGGTGGATCTTTCCTTGGTCGGAACTCATGATGCAGGTGAACTTGAAACTTCTCTGGTTGTAACTCGTATCCCCTAGTACCATGTAGACGCATTCGGGGTGGATCTTTTCTTGGCCGAAACTCTTGATGCAAGCAAGTTTTCAATTGATCTTTATCCTTCGACTGAGACATTTGTGGTTGTAGTGGATCCTCTCGTGGACGAAACTCTTGATGCAAGCAAGCATTCAATTGATCCGAGTTGACTTGGGGAACACTAGTATCCTTCAAAGAATACCGTTTTAGTTGCGGTGGATCCTTTCGTGGTCGAAACTCCCTGTGCAGGAGAACTCGCAATTGATCCGAGTTGTCTTGAGACTCAATAGTATTAGGTTGGTACAAAAGTAATGCGCGTTTTTGATTTACTTTATTTTTATTGTAAAAATGAAACAAAAGGACATTAATCGAGAAGATACTCTCCATCATTATCGACCACTCTCTGCCAACGCATGCGCAAAGATTCGATGCCTCTCTTGAAGAACTCCGCTGGCTGTGACTCGAAGTAGTTCGTCACCCAAATTTTCACTTCTTCGTCGTTTTTAAACTTCTTCTCGGCCAGATGATGCTGCATGGACCGGAACTAATGATAGTCAGATGGTGTCAAATCTGGGCAGTAAGGCGGATGTGGGAGCACTTCCCAGCCCAGCTCCAAAGTTTTTTTCTGGGTGATTTTCGCGGTATGTGGTCGAGCGTTATCGTGAATCAAAAGTATTGCCGATGTGTTCACTCCTTGATGTTTGAGCTCCAGGTCCACGCGGTCCAACTGACCTTTGTAACGTTTGGCAGTCACCGTTTCACCATGACCTAAAAGTTCAAAATACACCAAACCCCGAGTATTCAACCAGACACATATCATAACCTTTTTTCCGTGTATATCCGGTTTTGGTGTTGGTTTTGGGGTTTCGCCCGGACTGAGCCACTGATGTTTTCTTTCAGAACAGTCATACTGAATCCATTTTTCATCTGATGTCAAAATTGAATGAAAGAAACCGCGATTTTTTGAGCGGCGCAGAAGATCATTGGCCACTTCGACGCGCTTCCTCTTGTTTGCTTCAGAGAGTTTGTGCGGTACCCATTTTCTACATCTATTCGATTTCCCAAGCGCATGTAGGTGGCGTAAAATTGTGATATGACTGCAATTAAACTGTTTTGACAAACTGCGTGTTGTTAGGCACGGGTACAGTTCGACTGCTTGTCTCAAAGCATCGTTGTCAATGATTTATGGACGACCACTGCGTTCATCGTCTTCCAAGCTCTCTTCGCCACTTCTGAGGCGCTGAAACCAGCGTCGACATTAACTCTCGGATAGAGCATTTTCTCCGAACACTGGCGGAAGTGAGCGATGAGCTTCGGCTGCAGTTTTACCTTCTTTGAACTCATGCCACAAAAAGGCTCGCAAGCGAAATTTTGATCGGCCATTTCCTTAAACGTTTTTCTCATTGAAAAGAGAAGAAGAACGATGAAGTAATAATATAGAACGAAGCTAAAGACATTCTCTTTAAAACAAGAAAAAAATTGATACGAAGCGCTCGCTCACAGGAGACGTACAAAACACCAAACTTAGCGCGTATTACTTTTGTACCAACCTAATATCATTTGACTGAAACAGTGGTGGTGGTGGATCCTTCCGTGGCCACGGTTCCTCCTGAACTCGGCGATTGGTCCTTGTCTCAAAAACAGAGCCACAGGCACCCTCTCCAGCCTTCTTCAGGTCCTGTTTTTCCAATTGTGGCGATTTCCCAGAAATCAATATGGGATCCTTCTTGGATGTATCACTTTCAAAGAAGACACACTTTATGTTTTTATATTGATCCAAATTTGAAGACGACACAGTTCTTCGATCTTCAAAAATAACAGCTGATACAGTACTTCTTTTATGAAACTGCTTCTTTAGATCCATACTGGGATTTTCCAGAATATCGAACTTTTCGATCACATTTTGAAAACCTATTTCTTTGTTCTGGACATTTTCCTGATTTTGATACACTGATTGCTTAGTCTCTGCTATTAACTCAATATCTTTAACGTCCTTGATATTATCATGTGTGCTTTCAGTGCAATATCTCTGAAACTAATCAGACTTTCGATCCACACTGCACAACACGATTCTCGAGTCCTCCATATTTTCTTCTGCAAATTCTTCTTTTATATCCATACACACAGATTCATCTACCTTGTCATCGGTAGAATCCTCTCTTTCTGATGCCCCACAGTTTTTGGTAGTTTCCTGAGAAAGAGGTTGTAAAATAGAAGCCCATGGGTTTCAATTAGAAAAAAACCCTGTAAACTGGGTCTTTTTTTATCACACCTCGCACGCTCTCCCACAGAACAATTCCGAACTGCAAATTAATTTTTGATCTGCAGAAAAAAAGTTTGGCGCGATCACAATTGCAGGTCTAAAACCATAATTTCAGAATTTCTTATCTGAATTTGTGGAGTTTCAAGATGATTCAAATAATCCTTTAAAAATTAATTAGTGGTTATAGATTCATGTATGGTAGTTTTCCGGAAGAAAAAATGTCAAAAATGGTAATTTTGAACGTTTTTTACAGAAAAAATCTATCTCCTCTTTCTGTTTTCGACATTTCTAGAAGTTCTATAGCTCAAAAAAACCGCAATTATTTTCTCTACATTATCTATGGATGAATTTTTAATTCGTCTGATAAAACTTTTTTATAATCAAAAAACAACGCAAAAATGCTATTTTGTGCAATTTCATGAGGTTTTTGAATTATAAAAAAAGTTTTATCAGACGAATTAAAAATTCGTCCATAGAAAATGTAGAGAAAATAAATGCGGTCTTTTTGAGCTATAGAACTTCTAGAAATGTCGAAAACTGAAAGAGTTTTTTTCTGTAAAAAAGTTTCAAAATGACCATTTTTGACATTTTTTTCTTCCGGAAAACGACCATACATGAATCTATAACCACTAATTAATTTTTAAAGGATTATTTGAATCATCTTGGAACTCCACAAAATCAGATAAAAAATTCTGAAATTATGGTTTTAGACCTGCAATTGTGATCGCGCCAAACTTTTTTCTGTAAAAATTAATTTGCAGTTCGGAATTGTTCTGTGGGAGAGCGTGCTTCGTGAAATTAAATCATATTGAAAAATTCGAAAATTGCAAATGATTAACGTAAAAAATTAAAACGGCAAATAATGCAAGTGGAAAATCTAAAATTGCCTATTTGCCGCTTTAAAAAACACCGGCTTTTTGATGTAATTCCGCGTGAAAATTAATGGGCTTACTTACTTGCACCGGCGACCAGTAACAACCCTAAAAAAATGCTGTTTTTAATGACACTTTTGCATAGATCTAAAAGATGCGTTTATAACACTTGTTACATAACGATTGCGTTCATCTATCCAAGTAATAAAACAAACTGGATAATATCGATAAGTGTGAAGTTTATCTTCTGATATGCCATTGTTTTGGATTCCTTTTTTGATCAAACCACACATTCAATGTTCATTCTTACTGCTAACGTTTTTCTGCTTATTTCAGGATATGTGGAATCATGTATTCCTACCCAAAACGTCGTTCATAGAGAGTACGCAAGATTCTGCTTTTCTTCAACGAATTTCATACAGTTCGAAAAGGAGATTTCTTTAGTTTTCTTTACTTTCTATTTACTTTTACGAAATTTTCTAGCCATCAGTTAAATTTGAATCAAAACTGTGCAAATCACGGCTGTGACTGAGGCCGTAGGTAGGTTGCCGTGGACCAATCAGTACGTTCTTTTGGAAACCTATTCAGCAACCCAGAAAGCACTAGGGCAGCTGGGCCGCCGTCGCCTACCTAATCCTAGAAATATCCTTTTCACATCTTTAGTTTGAATGCTTCTGCCGACTTGAAGTTTGATCAGTTCGATTCCTTGTTTTAGCATCCGCCTCAACCGCCACAATTCAACAGCAAATCCTTCTGCTAGAAGCCGGTGTTCCACTTGTGCTCACACCACAGGAGCAAACAGCTATAGCTGCGTTCCTTGCCACAACAGTAGCCACAACCGCAGAGTTAACGACAACAACCGCAGAGTTAACGACGACAACAGCATTAACTACTACAACAATCATCAGTACAACAACAACAGTCACCACGACCACAACGACACCTTACCGTAACTTTCATATCCCTGAAGCATGTAATTTTTATAACAATTCCAGCATGTTCCGGATGCGCACCAATCTACGATGCCTCATGTCAAGGACTCGACATGCCAAGTTCATCAATGTACTGCTTGACGGATAGTGAAGTTCCGGTAACATACACTCGAGGCTTTTGCTCAACACCATGCCTTTCTCCTGATGCTTGCATGTAAGATTAGATATTTTCAAATCACCTCGCACAATATCTTATTAACCAGGTTATCACTGGGATGTCCATCCGGAACAGCTGCTAGAATAGATTACGGGTCTGGAGATGTGGACGGAAATGCGGATGGCTCTCCAACATTTCTCTATTGCGATGAGGGTACGGGTACCTGGAACGCCATTATAGATGGCAGTACAGTCAGTCCCGTATCAACTGCTGCATGCAGATATCCGTAAAATTTTGTATACAAAAATAATCATAGTTGCAACACGTCGGGTCGGGCCGGCCCGTGATTTTGCAACTATGAAAATAAAGTTCCATACTTAACACTTAACGATTGCCCCTGCGTTTTAAGAACTAGATTATATTTTAATAAATTGTGCACGCACTTCGTATTACGAAGGAATTTTTTTCCCCAAAAACTATTGCTGCCAAATGGTTGATTGTACAGTTTTCTCACTTTTATCATGGAAAAAAACTATAATCTTCAAGAGATTGCATAAAATGCTTTGAGAAGGACCGAAGATTTTCAAACATTTGGCATTTCATAGGAATGGGTTCTTGGCCTATGCAAATAACGAGGGAAATTATTTAACTCAAAAAATATTATTCTTCCTGAACGAAAGAAAGTTCTGGAGACCAATTTTTTTTTGAACACGAATTTTACATAACGGTCCGATTGTGATTACCCATCCAAGTAATGAGACAAACGGGATGTTCTCGCTAAGTATGAAGTTTTATCTTTTGATAAGCAAATGCTTTTCATTGATTTATGATTGAACCAGTCGTTCAATGTTTATCCTTACTACTAACGTTCTTTTAATTATTTGGGGATATGTGGAATCATGTATTCCTACGCAAAACGTTACTCATAGTAACGTGCACAGAAGATTTTGTATTTTAATGAGTTCCGATTGTTGGAACTGGAGCTTATTCAGTTTTTAAGTGTCAGAATCCAATATTTTTCAGGCATCAGCAATGCTTGAATGCTATTGATGACTTAGCGTTTGTTTTCCGATTCCTTGTTTCAGCGTCAGCCTCCAGAATTCAACTGCAAATTCGTCTGCTAGAAGCTGGCGTTCCACTTGTGCTCACACCACAAGAGCAAGCAGCTATAGCCACTTTCATTGCCACCTCAGAAGCCACCCCCTTAACAGATTTAACGACGACAACCGCATTAACTACCACCACGACAATCATCACCACAACAGTAAATACAACCACAGTCACCACAAACACAAAAACACCTTACCGTAACTTGATTATTCCTAAGGTATGAAAATGTTCAATTTCAGCATGTTCTACATGCGCACCACTCTACGATACGACTTGTCAGGGACTCAACATGCCAAGTTCATCAATGTACTGCTTGACGGCTGATGAAGTTCCGATAGAATATTCCCACAGTTTTTGCTCATTTTGCGGGTCATCTGACGCTTGTTTGTAAGATTATCTGGCTTTTTTTGTTACTTCAAACTGACTAAGGTTATCATTGGATTGTCCCTCGGGAACATCTGCTCGATTAGATGACGGATCTGGAGAACTGAACGGAAATTCAGATGGCACGGCAAAATTTCCCTATTGCGATGAGCCTGGTGGCAGCTGGACCGCCATAATCGATGGTAGTCCAGTTCCGGTAACAAAAGTTACATGCAGATATCCATAGAAGGTTTTTTTAATGAATGAAGTACCCCGCGAGAATTATGTATGCACTACTTTCCCAACGCTTTTCATGAAATTACGAAAAAATCGGGAATTCGGTTATTGGAAGTTTCCCTCTGTTTTATCGGCCTCGTGAAGGGCATTTTCTGAGTCTTTCATCTCTTGCGCTCTAATTTTTTAATACCTGATCAATAAACAAACAAGAAGTTCAAGAAGCTTCAGATTAGACTCTATAACTAGCTTCAGAAAAATAACGAAATGCTCAATTATTTATTCACGATGGACCACCAAAAATTTATGGGCTCTGAGTTGGTCGTGGTAGTCTAATTGGTGGTGGTCCCGTTGCTGGATTTTTTTCCCAAATTCATATCCATCGAATTTCATACTCATATTCATCGAATTCTGTTATTTAACGCGTTTCTTTTGTGTTCCGGAAAATTAAGTGGGTAAAAATGTGAATAGGCAACTCCCTACAGATTAGTGAGCACGTTATTTTAATTTTGGAAAAATGAGACTTCAAACGCATTTTTATAAGATTTATTACTTGAAGTCATATAAATAAAAAGACAGTAAAAAGGCAAAGGTTTCATGGAATGGTTTTCATGTAATTAAAAAGGAATAAACATACATAGCATAGAAACATTTTTTTCAAGATGAATCTCTTGAAAAAAAACTCAAAGGGATATAAAGTTTTTTATCCACGGGTTACAGTGCATTTCAGTGATTCAAAAAATGTATTTATTTACATAGTATTTTTGTGTTTTTATGTGTTTTTACGTACTAAACCCCATTAAGAGCAAGGCTGTGCAAAATGACGGCGAGCCGCGGCCGGCTTTTATGTGAAAGCCGTGAAAAGCCGCGGCTAGCCGAGGCCGGCCGCGTCTAGCCTTATAAAAACGCGTGAAGTGAAAATCTATTAGTTTTTGAAGAATTTTTTTGCGTTTTTTTTTGTGGCACAGCCTTGATTAAGAGCACACAATCCAGTAGCAGTATTGCATTTAAATCCGTTGCCGCAAGCAGAGCAGGTCGGTCTTTCTTTGTAAATTTGAGCAGCCTTCTGGTTTCCTCTGAAATTATCAGTTTATGATTTTCACATTTTTCAGTGATAATTACTCACGGTTTTTCATATTGGCACACAACAACCTACCTGTAGATGAGGTCCTTTGGAGGACATAGCTTCACTCCACACCTAACTGACTGGGTCTCAGCCCTAACCATCTGAGTGGCCTCTTTGATTCCAGATTCGAAGGCGTCATCATCCATCATATTGGAAATCCATCCGTAGTTTGCAAACTCATTTTCCCATTGTTCCGTGGCTCTTTGTCCCTGTAGTATTACGTACTTTCATAATCCCAAGTCATTCGAAACTCACAAAGATATTAAGAGGTAGTTCGCCTATTGAACTCTCATCAACAAACATGTTCTCTCCTTCTCGTGATGGAGCGGAGCCGTCCTCTGGACATTTGTCGGCTTAGATTTGAGCAGACGCTTCGAGAGAGTTATCCCATTGCTAAACGAAACATTTCATTCACAAACATATGAATATTATTAACTTACTATCTCCCGCATGTTGGTTGCTGATTTTTTAGGTTCATCAAAAGCTCCATAAGGATTAGCAATATCAGATCTCAAGTAGTTGTGCGCGTCGATTATCTGTTGTTTAGCGGAGGGACCGAACTGTGCACTGGCACATCCGAGGATGGCGAGTATACAGAGAACGAATTTCATATTTGAAACGAAACCAGTCGGTTTACGCCCCTCCGGGGCTCAAGATCCTGGCCTCCGGTTACGGTACCCGTTAAGAGATTAAGAGATTTGTTCACTTCTATTCGGTCTCAAAATTGGAAATTAAGAAATTCAGTGTTTGAGAAATTTCACATTTTAAGATATATGTTCAGAGAAAAGTGAATTAAAAAATTTCCAAGTTCGAAAACTTCTAATTTAAAATTCTGAATAATTTCTCGAAATTCGTGTTTCTGTAATTCTGGAAATCAAACTGTAAACAGAAATGTCAGTTTACGCCTTTTCAAGGATGATCCTCCTCTATTTGAAATCTCGGAATTCAAAAATTTGAAAACTCATAAAGTCAGAAACGCGGGAATCCAGGAATTTAGAAACTGGAGTTTTGAAAAGTCACATTTTTAAAATTTCAAACATATGCGAATGCGAAAAACCTGAAATTTCTTTTCAATTTCGAAGATCAGATGAGAACTTTAAAATTCCATAGTCGGAAATTCAATTTGCAAATTCCCTTATTCTTCCCTCTCCAATTTTTTTTGATAATTCGGAAATCTCACCTCAGGAAGCCGAATTTGAATATTCAAAACCTTGGATATTTATTAATTCCGTAAATTCGTAGTTCAAAAATTCAAAAATTCGGCAATTCAAAAACTACGGGTTTTGAAACTTTACAGCTCTTATCATTGGTGATCCAGATTCCCAGAACCCAAAAAGTTTGTAAATGATTAAATTTTGTTTTTTGACTTTTTCGACATTTTCTGACTTGCGCATTAGTTCTAAGCATGTAAAAAATATTTTTGAAGTGTTTGGACCTCGAGACAGTATAATATAGTAAAATAAAAATTCCTGTTATTTGCTTTTTTATTTTATGCTTACTCAGGCGTCGCCGGTTCCTTCTGGCCGGAGCCTGGTCAGATTCCGGCAAAGACATTGTGGGAAGCCGACCAAGATTCGACGAATTACCGGCCAGCTTCCGACCTCTTAACACGCAGCGCCTTCAAATTCCGGCCAAAATCCGTGGAAAGTGTTGTTCTTGGAGTTACGGTGAGCATTTTCACGATAAAGTGATGAGATCGCACAAATTGTGCCATCGTAGCTCAATTTGTTTGAAACCTTGAAATTTTCAATTGAAAACCTTGAAATTTTCAGTTGAATAGCAAACTGTATCGTCAAGCTTCCACTCCAGATATCAATCTTGTATTACGGGTCCGCCAAAATTACGTGTGCACAACTTTGACGCCATGGCGCTGCGCACTGACGCACTTTTGGTGCGCAATTTTTTAAAATTTTTATTAATTATTTCATTATTTATTAGTTTGCCAAGTTTCATCCCAATCGGTTATGTTTTAGGTAAATGACAGCGGCAAGTCCTCATCGTACTCTGATCGTCGACTTTTACAAGCGAGGTTTAAGCACAGGAGACATTTCTAAACGACTCGGAGTGCACCGAAACACGGTTTTCGCGACCATCCGTCGTTTCAACCAGCTTGGCCACCTCAAGGACCGTACGGGAAGAGGAAGACCGAGGACTGTAAGAACTCCAGCGAAAGTCAAGGCCGTCCGGGAGAAAGTCAGGCGAAATGCTCATCGTTCCATGAAAAAGATGTCAGATGACATGGATATCTCCTATACATCAATGAGGAGAATTGTCAGAAAAGAGCTGAAGATGACCTCTTATCGAGCAACAAAAGCTGCTATTCTATCCCAAGCCAATAAGGAGAAACGGCTCATCAAAGCGAAGCGCCTTCTCGCTGGCACGCGCAAAAAGGATCATCTTATCACCATCTTCTCGGACGAGAAACTCTTCAGTGTCGAGGCTGAATTTAATAGCCAAAACCACCGAGTGCTGGCCACAAATATTCAACAAGCAGCTGAGCGTGGTAAAACAATCCATCGAGCCTCTCATCCTGCGAGCATCATGGTTTTCGGAGCGGTTTGCTATGATGGGAAGTGTCCGCTTGTTTTCGTTGATAAAGGCGTGAAAATCAACCAAAAATACTACGTTGAGGAGATTCTGGAGAAGCATGTGCTACCGTGGGCTCAAAACCACTTCGGTCAGAAGAAATACATCTTCCAGCAAGATGGAGCGCCTGCTCATACCGCAAAAATGGCTCAACAGTGGTGCAAGGACCACTTCCCCGCCTTCATACCAAAGGACGAATGGCCGGCTTCGTCGCCTGATCTGAACCCGCTCGACTACTCCGTATGGGGAGTTCTGCAGAATAAGGTCTGCGCAAGACCTCATGCAAATATCGAGGCCCTGAAGAAGTCGTTGTCTGAGGAATGGGACAAATTATCCGTCGAATACCTGCGTGCCACCATTGATGCCTTCCCTCGACGACTTCGTGCCGTGGTCGCTGCCAAAGGAGGTAGAATCGAATAATTTTTGTTGAATTATGATTTCAAGCGTTGAAATAAACTATCTGTTAAATTTCGTCTTAATCTCGCATCTACTTCTGGAGATAACGTCATCTACACTTGCACACGTAATTTTGGCGGACCCTGTAAACATTGGCTTTCGCAACACAATGGAATGGTCGATGCAGTTTGAAACTTTCAAACTACGTACCTTAAAAGAGAAAACAATCGCGTTGTCAGAGTTCAAAATTGCTTTCGTTCTTGTTGATCAAGCATTCAAAACAGCTCAATAAACTGTGGACAACGGGTTTTGGTTACTTCAAAATGACAGCTTCTTGCACAGTAACTATTTTTTGGGCGTTTCGAAAACGGAATTGCAAGATAAAGATTGGAGATTCCAAGCACAGTAACACTTCATATATAGACTACTAAATACGGGTTCTTTCAGAAAACATTCTGGCTTTGTCAGTGGATTACTGAAGACTATTAAAGAGCTCTTCATAAAGCTTCAAGTGGATAAAATCGAGTGTGTTATTCTAAAAACGTTACTCACGATGACTCGTGAGTTTTGAGTTGATTTTCCATAAACATTACCATTTTCTAGCTTCGTATGCTGGAAGACTGAAACTGGACAAATCGGGAAAAGTGGTATCACAATGCCTTTCTGAGCTGATGACTTTGGAAATGTTATTTTACAATTTCACTCAAACGTTTTCAAACATTCTTACTCATTTCTGAATTCTGTAAAAAAACCAAAAAGTTGCCTCCCGTCGGACTCGAACTCTCGTCGCGCGGACAAAAGCGTAGCTCGCTAACCACCACGCCATCACAGGTGATTCGCGCAGCGTCTATAATAGGTGAAATATCGTTCGCGGAAAGACGCCATGGGTACATCGGAACATGCCTGCCGCAGGCCATTTACAGACCAATCGCGAAAGCGCCACCGCAAACGACCAATATTCGGCCTATCGCGAGCAAATCTCCTACAATTGGCCTACCGCGAGAGCAATAATTGGAGCATATTTTTCGATATTGGAAGCTAGCTGTTGCTCAAAATTACTTTATTACACTGAAAAAACAATGAAAAACGCAAAAAAGTTGATTATTAGTTATATTTTTTCCTTCCGACGTAGTCGTGCTGGCTGGAGCGGCGCTGGAGCTTCTCGTTCTGTCCATTTCTGTTTCGCCGATGACGACCCGATTGGGGATCAGAAGATGACGGTGATAGTTTTCTCGAAGAAACTGAAATAATTTATTTAGATTAAGTTCCCCTAAATTTTGAACTATACCTTCGACACAAGATACTGGCTGGAAATGTTTTTAATCCACTACTTTGACAATGTCGAATTCCTGATATCCGTCGTCTAAAATTTTAATTTCTTAAAAGATTTTTTTTCCAAATCTACTCACTGTTGATTCCAGCTCTTCTTTCTTTCCACCTCCTTATTCCTCTTTTCTGGATTGTCCTCGACGTACCGGAAAAATGTAGATTTTCTGGGTCCCTGTAAAAATTAGTTTAAAAATTCGGACTTTCTGAACGCTGTTTACCTTTTGAAAGTACAGTAGCAATGCTACCTCCAGAATAAACCAAAACTTCGACTTCTAGCTTCCGACCTTTGTCTCCAGGCCATTTTTCCAGTTTTTCTGCAAATTAAAAGCGAAATACTTGCTGATACAGTATTCTGTATGTTCTTGTAGGTTAAAAAATAATTTACGGATAAAAATTGCAACGAAAACTGCAAAAAAACGATGAAAAAACCCAATATAGGTTAAAGAACTTCGAAAAAGAAAAAACAAGAATTTTTTCGGTCGATTGTGGACCTTTTATAGAGCCAGTTAGTAAGATACGCATATTGCTCGCGAATGGTCAATTGTAGAACCTCTCGTTCGCGGTAGATAAGTTACTGGTCGATTATAGCCCTATCTCTGTAATTGGTCAATCACGAATCACCTGTGATGGGACCACACAGTAACGACGGTGGAGACGGCGCATACAATACCGCTCTTTCCTCCCCCTCTCGCTAAAAATACAACTTTTTCAATTTGAGTGTTGAAAAAATTTTCGTGGATGCATTGGAAGCAAAACATGTAGATTTAGCCCAGTAAGTCTACACTGTTGAACAAAGATACATAGTTATCACTGTAAATTTATCAATTATTTTCTCTGGGAGACCTTTTTATTCAAATGAACATTTTACATCAACTTTCTTCGTCAACATTCACAAAGTTCTATGGATATCTGCATGCAGCATTTGATAATGGTTGTGTTACACTATCAATAACTGCGTACCAACTTGGAGAAGACTCATCGCAGTAGAGAAGTGTTGGAGAGCCATCCGAGTTTCCGTTCACATCTCCAGATCCAGTATCCAATCTAGCCGCAGTTCCTGATGGACATCCCAGTGATAACCTGAAATGCCATGAATTTATTTTTTAGGGAACGAACTTAAAACAAAATTAGACCATAGAATTTTCGTGTTCTTTTTAAAATTTAAAAGCAAGCTTCTCATGATTTGTGAACCCCTGTGATTCGGTTTTCAGCTCATTCGCTCAATTTTGTTGCGAAAATGTTTGCACTGCAAACATATTCATCTACACGTTGTTTACAAAGTGTAGAATAATTTACATCATTCAGGCTGTATTTAAAATGAAATACTAATGGGAAGCACGGTTTTGATAGTTTCAAGAACACCGAAACTCGAAATATGCTGCAAACAATATAGGCTCACATGCAGGCATCAGATACTCCGCATGTTGAGCAAAAGCCTCGGGTGTATGCTACCGGAACTTCGCTATCCGTCAAGCAGTACATTGATGGGCTTGGTAGATTCTCACCTTGACACGTGGCATCGTAGATTGGTGAACATGCAGAACATGCTGAAAGTGAAAAAAATGTATATAATTTGAGGTTACACAACTAACGGTAAGGTGTCGTTGTGGTTGTGGTGACTGTTGTTGTTGTGGTGATTGTTGAAGTGGCGTCTGTTGTAGTGGTTATTGCTGTTGTGGACGCTGTGGTGGCTACTGACGTGGCAATGTACGCGGCTATAGCTGCTTGCTCCTGTGGGGTGCGCGCTAGTGGAACACCAGCTTGTAGAAGAAGGATTTGCTGAATTTTGGAAGCTGAAATAAGGAACTAGAACAATTCTAAACTAGAAGTGTTCTGAAATTACTAATCTCGCTACAACTGAAAAAAAAACAGTGTTCGTTTTTCTAAACAGACGTAAACGAATTTGAAACTTCATCCATTTGTTTCCTAATCTTACTCTGCTCAACATTTTGCGTCGGAATGCATGTCTCCATAAAAGTTGGAAGCATCAGATGAAGAATAGCTGTAAGGAGAAAAGTTTGCATTAGTGAGTGAATGAGGGTAAGTTGATGTTAATAGAAGTCTCGACTTCATCCTGATGTTTTTTTTCGATTACATGCATTAGCGCCCCCTTTTTTCCATGCAAAGTTTTTTAACGCATTATCTTGAAGAGAATATTCCGATAATAAAATTATGTAGACTTTTTCGATTAACATATTTCTGAATCTAGTTACAGCACCTGCTAATAAGATAAACAAATACATTTTTTAGTTAATTTTCAACCATTTTGACCTCAAGTTTCTAATGACTTTGAAAGTTTTGGAGTTTATAGAGTGAGCGAGACAGACTAGAGCATTCCAAAATTTTCTGTGAACCCACAGTTTTCATTCCAGGTCTTTTTTTCACCCTCCAAAATTTTCGAAATTGGCATTAACTTGAGAGCCGAGCTCCAGACTTCGGAAAATGGTCGAAAATTAATTGAAAAATGCGTTTTGGTCTATCAATTTGACAAATGTTTGTATTTTTTTTTGTATTTTCCAATTTTCCAAGTTTTACCCTCTAATTGTAAGAGGAGCTAAAAACACTTTGAATGGACCATTTTGAGCGGAGATTCAGCGATTTGAAGTCTGTAGCTAACACTCTCGTCTCTCTCCGCTCTCGCCAAAGTTCAAAGGCGAATAACTCGCTTCAAAATTATTTTTGTAAAAAAAATTGCAAGACGTTCATTTTCAAATGTTTTTAAGAAAATGTCAAAATCAACTGAAAAACGCATTTTAGCTTATCTTACCGTTACTGTAGATGAATGAGATAAGCTTTTAGTAGATAGTAACCCTTATTGTTGTGCATTTATTTTTTACCGTAAAGCCTTCATTAGAAGAGCACTTTTTTAAAGTAAAGCCTTCATTAGAAGAACACTTTTAATATTGGGGTTCCTTTAACAGAAGAGCCCTCATCGAAAAGCACCTGTGATAGAAGGGCAGGCCTTTTGGCTGAACTATTCTCTTGCACCCGTCGTATTCTCCGGACCTTGCCCTTTCGGACAAATGGTCGTTGGAGGCCTTTAAACGCCTTTTTGATAGGAAAGACTTCAAATGAAAAGATGACATGAAAAAAAGAGTTGACCCACTTTTTCAATAGCAGTCATCATCGTTCTGAGCTGATGGAATCTAGACGTTGCCGAAGTGTTGGCAGACAACTTTCAATCATGAACCTTATTTTCATTGATCCGGCCCTTCTGCTCTGAGAAAAAATAGATCAAAAATAGTATCAAAATCGAAAGAAACTTATTTGCCAATCTAAAATGGATCAACACTATAACTAAATGACGATGTCATGCTGAAAACACACTTTTCCGTTTGCCTGTTCTAATAGCATTGTTGTTGTTTCTCCATAAAGCTTTCTTGTCTCCTATTACTATTTAGGCTTCCTAAACACGTTCTTCTAACCTCTGCGCTATTCCTTCTGTCTATTCACCAACATTTTCGTTCTCGTTTGAATTGATCGATTTCCAATCGTGGATCAAATTTTGACGCTACAAGTAAACAATGGATAACATCTGTGATTCTCTCAGATCGTGTCTTCTAATCTTCAGACAAAAAACTTCATTCGTGAATTCTATTATCCTACTAACACTATTTTCTCTAAATACCTTAGTTGAAACATGTATAAAAACAACTGCTCCAGTAAGAGTTACTCCGATAAGTTTAAACACACAGTCCAGTAGTATTATCGCATTCAAAATTTTAGGGCAGTTCGAGCAGGTCGTTCCTTCTTCATAAATGTCAGCATTCTTCTTGTTTCCTCAGAATTTATCAATTTGTCAGTTTCATATTTTTCAGAAAAAGAGTCACTCATGGTTTTTTATAATGGCACACCACAACGTACTTGAATCGGTTGTTGGTTTCGGTTGGACACACATTCACTCCACACCCAACTGAATCTCCGTTGAACTATTCTCGATGAAGATGCTCTCTCCATCTAGTAATGGTTAGAAACTGTAATCTGAACAGTTGTTGGCGCGGGCTTGAGCAGAAACTGAACACTTTTGACAAAAGAAATGTTCTAATCATTTAATACTCATAACAAATAAAAAGAGCCAAACATTCTTATCTCTGTTAGAACCAAAGTTTTTTAGTTGTTATGTGTTAAACTTTTTTTATGATTTGTTTTTACTGAGTTTTCTGTACTTTGTAGTTGTTAAATGGAGCTATCCTGACCTTTTCAGAAAACAAACCGGAAAAAATCACTAATTACAGGTTATCAAATAGATTTGATACATCTGGAAGCTGTGAACATCGAAAAAAAACTGATTTCGTCCTAATTGTGAATCCTGGAAATCTGGGAGTCATATTGGACTGCGTTCCAAACCCAGGAATCCCAGATTTCGCCACATTTGGAAGCGACAGTGAACGTTTTTGAGTCTCTACTCGTCTGGCGACCGACACGCCGACACGCGACGCGTCTAAACTAGGCTCGGTGCCAAATTTCTAACCGGATATCCCTACCGCGATGTCATCATTCCCGGAGCCCTCAGTAAAAACAAAAAAGGCATAACAAAGGTTTCACCCACAGCAATTTGAAACTTTGGTCTCAACAGAGATAAGAATGTTTGGCTCTCACTATTAGTTATGTTTTCGAAATGTTTCGAATATTTCCTTTGTCAAAAGTGACAATAACAATGACGACAGAAGTTTTCGTTCCTAGCTCTTTTTTTCAAACGTTTTATTATTGTCTACCATAATTTCGAAAACGAATAATAAAGGTGAGAAGCTGAAAACAATCAACCAATGAAACATGTTTTGCCATAAGACAAGTTCAAACCTTTTCATATAAAAAGACCCACTCTGATTCAAAAGACATTTCATTTCAAATCATGAAATTCGCTCTCTGTATTCTCGTCATCCTCGGATGTGCCAATGCTGAGTTTGGTCCAGTCGGTATAAAACGCATACTCAATATCCACAATGAGTTGAGATCTCAAATTGCTTTGGGAGCCTATGACGGTGAAGAAACATTTGAGACATATAAACCATCAGCATCCAACATGCGCAAACTGGTAAGATTATATAATTAGAATTTTTACCAGTGACGTTTCCCTTAGAAATGGGACGACTCTCTCGCCGCCTCTGCTCAAAACTACTCCAACACTTGTCCAGACCGTCTCTCCGCACCATCACGAGATGGAGAGAACGTCTTCTTTGCAACTAGTTCAAACGGGCAAGACAGTGTTGATTACTATGTGAGTTTCGAATGACTTGGGATTTTCAAACTACGTAATTTTTCAGGGAGACAGAGCATCGGAAATATGGAAAAGCGAGTTCGAAAATAGAGGATGGAATTCCACTAAGATGGATGATAACGCCTTCAATTCTGGAATCAAAGAGGCTACTCAGATGGTTTGGGCTGAGACACATTTAATTGGGTGTGGAGTGAGTGTGTGTCCAAAGGACAACCGGTTCAAATATGTAGTCGTGTGCCACTATGAAGAGCCGTGAGTGATTCTTGTGTGAGATTAAGAAAATCACAAATTGATAAATTCAGAGGAAACAAGAAGGATGCTAACATTTATGAAGAAGGAACGACCTGCTCGAACTGCCCTGAAAATTTTGGATGCGATAATAATACTGGATTGTGTATTCTGCAACTTCTCGCTTAATATTGCTTCTAATTATTTCAAGTAATAAATCTTTTATCAATGCATTAGAAATTTTTGTTATTCCAAAACGTAAGGTTCCTACTGATCTGTAGGATTAAAGTTGCGATAATCTTCTTATACAGGGTGGCTGAAAAGTATTGAGACACTTGTTATGATGGCTCTTGGCACCGTGCCAAGTCGTATTTTCGAAAAGTTTCGTATTATTTCGAAAATAGGGAGCGTATATAAGCCGACATTAGAGCCATTTCCCATCACTTTATCTCTTCACGAAGTTATGCGAGCTTCTCCTCATCGCCAAACCATTGCCAAGCTGTTCAACGACGGCATCTCCACCGGTGACATCGCTCGAAGACTTCTTCTTCCGAGAGCAACTGTCTATCGAGTTGTGCAACAATTGAAAGATCGAGGACATGTGTTGGAGCTTAAGAAAAGCGGAAGACCTCGTACTGTCAACACTCGCCGGACTCGTGGCATCATCAAGAAGAGAATCACACGAAATGATGCGGTCAGCATGAACCAAATGGCTTCATCGCTCGGAATCTCAAGACAATCGGTTCAATCCATTGTGAAAAAGGACTTGGGTCTGAACAGTTATCGGCTCCTTCGTGGCCAATACCTCACAGAACAGTCCAAGAAGAATCGGCTCGAAAAAGCGAAAAAGTTGCTCGACGCACTCAAGGTGCGCCGCCTCTCTGAAGTCATTTGGACTGATGAGAAAATTTTTACGGTTGAGCCGCTTCCGAACCGACAGAATGCTCGGCAATTGTTGTCAAAGGACGAAGCAAAGTCCCCAAAACGTCGTCTGGCCTACAAGAGACTTTTTCCAAAGTCAGTGATGGTGTGGGCTGGATTGACGTCGGAAGGTAAAGTCCCATTGGTTTTCATTGATAGAAATATGAAAATCAACTCGGATGTGTACCAAAAGTTGGTGTTGATGGATGTTTTACGTCCGTGGGTCACTAGCCACTTTGGCCAGCAACCCTTCATTCTTCAACAAGATTGGGCCCCGTCCCATGGCTCGAAATCCACGAAAGCTGTTCTCGACGCTCATTTCCCTGGCTACTGGGGCAAGGACATGTGGCCCGCTTCCTCGCCCGATCTGAATCCACTCGACTTTTCCGTTTGGGGATTTTGGAGGAAAAGGTGATGGCTCGATCGCACCCAAATGTGGATTCACTGAAGGCCGCTTTGCTCAAAGCATGGGATGATCTTGACGATGACTACCTCCGGCGCACCGTCGCTTCTGTTCCAGCTCGTTTGAAGGCGTGCATCAAGGCCGAAGGCTCAAACTTCGAATATCTCCTCTGATATCTTTTCTATTACTATCATTTGTTGAAAAAATAAATCTGGTTCTTTTGTTGAAACTCCATTTTTGAAAATACAACAAAAAACAAGTGTCTCAATACTTTTCAGCCACCCTGTATATAAAACGCTACACGCGTCTGTTGGTCCCCATGTCAGGCTGTCATCTTTTGAAAAGGTTGAAAAATAAAGATAAATTGACGTGACACTTTCAGAAAAATGATGAGTAACAAACTAGATTAAATCGCGCCGAAGGCGCACCAGCTTGCTGGTTCATCATAATACAGGTAGAGTGGACCCTTTTTTGAATTTATTACCTAGTTTGTGGAAGATGAACGGACCCTGGAGCTCTCCGACTGAGGGTTTTTTGCCCAATTCGATTTGGATAAATTCTGCGAATTACCCCTGTTTTGCTACTGTCTGGTTCTAAACCAAATGTTCTCCTTTGACATTTTCTCGTTCCGTTCAACGATTGGATCTAGATAATTCAATCCAACAATCCGATTTTCTTGTTTCCGTAGAATTCACAACAAAACTTTATGCGTTTGATTTTGCGCTATGGTAAAACGATCTTCATCTACATATTGCTCATTTTCATCCCTTTTCTTTGCTTTCAGCTCATTATAGATTTAGTTCTAGGATCGTAAGTAAGCGTTATGATTGGTTCACTAAGTTATTAATTGATTTTCAGAATTCACATGGTTTCACCACAACATAAGTATAAGAAACAGGATTTACGTGCATTTATCACTTCTGCATATTATTATCCCACTTCTAGCAGGTTTCCCAAAAGTTTATTTACCGTATTTTCTCTAATTGAAGCCGTATACGTGCCAGAGATGAGCGGAAGAGATTTACGGAAATTTACGGAAGACGGTTTATCTTCGAAATGACAAGTGCTACCAAGAAGCTGTCAACAGACAAAATGTAGATCTCAATGAGAGCTATCGATTGATATAAAAATTGTTTCGAAATTCTGTTGGATTATCTAAATAGAGTCTTTCTTCCGTCTTCCGTCTTCTCATTTTGTCCGTTCACAACTTTTTGGTAGCACTTTTCATTTTGAAAATAAACCGTCTTCCGTAAATTTCCGTAAATCTCTTCCGCTCATCTCTGATACGTGCACTTCGAGCTCAATAATCTCGGTTCCTATGAGAGATATCGAAAATTTGCGAATTGATAAAATGTTGGTGATATAAGAAGATGAAAATTTGGAAATTTCTAACTCTGGCTCAAAATTCGTTGCAAATTGGAAAAACATGTATGCTTTACCCAGAAAAAATTAATTTTAAACAATTCGTAACTTTTTCGTGTCTGGCGGAGAGATTTCCACAGAAATTTCTTGAATACGGTACTTCACTCGTTTTTAAGGTGAATAATGTTTTTTTCATAAGAAATTCAGGTCAACAAAACAGATAAAATTTATTGAAAAGAAAGTAAAAAAAAACAACAAAATAATAAAACATTTCGATTCATCTGAAAATTTCAGAGTTTATTACACAAAAACAGAGCTTTAATTTTGAAGTTGACAATTTGTTTGTAGAAATCCATACACATGAGATAACCGGCTTGAAACAGACCAAGTGCTTAACAAGTTTCGAGTTTTGACAAGCAAATTATCTGATTTCTATGAAATTCTACCAGCAACTTGTAGGTTACAAAACTAAAGCTCCGTTTTTGTGAAATAGACTTTGAAGTTTTTAGACAAATCGGAAATTTCGCTACCATATTTTTTTGACAGTTTGAATTGGACATTTTCAGTTAAAATTGGTAAAAGTAAGCCCACATATCTCGTCTCCTTTGAAAGATATCAACACATTTTTAAATGATAACTTATTTATCATAATATAAGAAGATGAAATTTTCAAAATTTTTAACATTAGTTCGAATAGAGGCCAGCCTACAAACTTTTCTGTTGGTTCGCAGAAATATAAGAACCATAGTTATTTCGGGATTTATGTATGAGAATTATACTTCACAAACATTTTTTCACCATTTTCACCATGAAAAAAGTCAAATTGGTATTTTTTAAGTTTTTTCATCATAACAAAATAATAACGTGAGATATATTTCCGTGAACCTACAGAAGCGATCCCGAGATCGCTTCTGGGAGTTTTGAGAGAAGAAGCCTGAAAAATAAATATATTAATATTTCCCGTGAACCTACAGAGTTTCGTTTCGTTTTGTTTACTGGGATTTTGTGAGAGCGAAAAAACATCCAGAATCGATCTCTTCATCGATTCCGTAAGTTCACGGAAATCTGCCAATTTTCGAAAAATATCGTGAAATTTTGAAATCCACTAATTTTTCATTCTGAAAATGGGCATCCTTACTAGTAAGAGTATCGTGTTTTGTGATTCAATGTGAATTTTTGAAAAAGGCAAGAAACATTTCTAGCTGCATTG